AACTAAAAGGAGGACATCAGAGGGCAAGTAACTCTTGGAAAACCTCCTATCCCTGCTTTCTCTCTCTGCTTTCGGTTTTCAGAAATTCCTCTGAGATTTCACACGTGTCTGTCTTTGCTTCTCAGTTAGCAATAGATATGGCCTTGGTGTTTGCTGTCCTGCCTTCTGTCCAAAGAGTCAAGGAGAGCTCATTGATAGAACTGGCATTTAGTCTGTTTAGTCACTCTGTACTCCAACACGCCCATGACCAGCTTTCTCTTAGATTCTTTCAATTAGTTGGATTCTTAGTGATCTAATTGTTTGCTCATTTGAGTCAGGTGCAAGAAAGGCAGACTGAAGACTTTACTGTGAACATCTCTGCTTTTGGAGGGTCCACCTCAGATCCCAGCACATACATTCAAAGGCATCACTAGTCTCAAATATTTTTTATTCTGTTCAAACCATTTGAGATGCTTTCTTTCTCCTTTTCTTTTGAAATTATTTTGTGAGGGTAACTCATTTAGTTTTAAAGTCTCTGGAATCTCAACAATTACTATGCATAGTCTGGAATTCCAGCAAAGTAAGAAAAGGTGATCTATAAATTATTTCCAAACATATTACATTTCTTATGAATACTAACAGCTGTCAGGTTGCTATATTTTGCAGATGTTTGAGGTGTAGTATGGAGCAGTGCTCAGACTAGAAACTCTCTCATTCAAATCCTGGTGGCTTTGTGACCTTGGAAAAATTTCCAAGCATCTGTATGCCTCATTTTGTTCATCTGTAAAATAGGGCTAAAATCTTGTAGGATTACATTATTAATACTCAAAAAGGTATTAAAGACATATAAATATCCAATAAGTTTGCTATTAATAGTTAAATATTTATTTCTATTTTGCAATCCCCTAGATAGTTTGCTTTTATGGAATAGATTAATTTTTTAAAGCCTCACACATATTTTGTTCTTTTTTTTTGGTACCGGAGATCAAACTCAGATCTTGCACCTTCAAGACAGTGGCAGAACCACTTAGCTAAATCCCCAAACCAAGCCTCACACATTTTTGTAGATCTTTAAAAAAACTGACAAACCTTAAGCAATTGCATAAAATTGCCATGGGTAAAGGGAGGGGTAGATGAACATGAAAGAGGCCACAAAGCAATTATTTTGGGACCTTTGAGTACCACTGATAGGCAAAGTTTGCAAAATTAAAACAGCATGGAAAATGGGTCTTCATCTTCTTGACTGATTATAAAGTCATTGATTAGTGAACAGTATCTGCTAGGGACTATGCTAAGTGCTTACACGTACTATTTTATTCAACCCAATCTTCACAGATGAGGAGAAGCTGAGAGTTAACACTGGCCTAAGAGCACACAGAGATTTCCAGAGTGAGAACAGCTAGAAAACATGCAATATTCTTAGGTCTATTAATCTATTTGACAAAAGCTTAAGGATGGTTTTTGGTAAAGGAAACTGAAGCCATGAAAGATAAACTCATTTTCCTAAGACTGTATGTGAGTTTATGCAGTGCAGATTAGAATGTGGATCATTCTCTTTGCTGTCTTCTCACTTCCATTCCTGCCCATGATATACAGAGCTAGACACATTTATTAGCTACATGATGCTTTCAGTGGTCATCCATCTGTCCATCCATCCATTCATGGAAAAAGATAAGACAGCTATCTAGACAGCACCTGACCAAAGAGTTTTCTAATTATAATCCTGGAATCATTATTAAAATCCCCATATAACTTTGGCAATTTATTACAGTAGGGAGGTCTCTTGAAGAAGTACTCTTCCATCTATTAGATGGAAAGAATTATGGAGCTCGTTGTGATACCCTTATTGGATTGGTTGCCTGGATGCAGTGGCTTAAATTGCAAGCTTAATCACAGCAACCCTATTATCTTCATGTTTAGATCTCAATCTCTCCTTGCAGCCCTGGCCTTGACTTCTATTTTACTGCTACAACATTTAAGCCCTTTTATTGTAAAGTACCTGAAACAATCTCAGAAAGAGAAGTTGTGTATAAACAAACACACACAGCCTGGCTTCTGGAAGTCTCATTTGCCACATGCATATGCAAATTATATCAAGTCAAATAACATCTCAGACTGCTTGGCAGTCAGTGGGGGAAGAAGGCCAAATAAACACGTGAGCATGTGGCATAAAACAAGCAGGAGAAAAATAAAGGTAACCACAGAGAGATTAAACCTACTCATCTACAAGTGGCTGCGCAAAGATTTGGCCCCAGGGAGCCATGTTCTAGGGGCCATGCCCTTCAACACTAGATTGGCTGCCTGACTCTGAAGTGGTATACTTAAGAAAAAATGGGAGCCCCAGAAACTTTGATACCTTGTTTTTGTTCACAACAAACAGAGTCCCCCTTTCTTACCCCCCAAGCCACCAAAACCAGAATAAGATTCTTAGGGAAACGAGATTATGAGTAGATGTCTAAAACAAGACACTAGGCTTGGGGTGGGGGGTGGTAGTGACTAGTGTCAGGGGGCAGGGATGCCCTTTCTGGGGAAGAGAACTCGTCCTTCTGATCCCTGCTGGTCAAGGTTGACTGTGGTAACCTGGCATGTCTAAGCACACCTTTCCTCATTTCTTGGGTTGGTAGAAAAGTCTTCACAGGGAAGGATAGCTCAGGAATTTGCCTTTCCTTCTTCCCATCTTGATTGGCAAAGGGAGATCATACTAAAGAAATCTAGGAGGTTCTTAGTTGTCAGGTCTTTTGGCCCCATTACCTTACAGCTTCAGGCTCAGCCAGGATGACCCAGATGACTCAGTGCAGAACAAAGATTAGGTATAGCCAAAGCACTATCCTGTTTCAAATAACAGTGGTACTAAGGCAAAATCCAGACAATAAATACTTTGTACTAAGAATGACTATATCATTACTCTTAAAAACAGTAGTGAGTCATGCTTAGACTGTCAAATACATTTCATCATAGTCTATTAAAGCTTCTTAAAGGGTTATCAGCATGACAGCAAAGGGAAAAAAGGAAGACCCATTTAGTGACTCTCTTGATGCTGATTTAACTAAAAGCACTTCTCCCAATTCCATCTCCTGAATGAAGGCATTGATTCAGCCTTTCTGCTCATTTCTGTCAAGTAGAAGTTAGAAACTACAGATTCCATGTATTCTGTCAGTTGATTATGCCTGTGATTTGGAACCATGGACACAAGTACTTATAACATTGTGTCAGGGTTTGGTCCATTGTTTTCCAGCTAAGACAGGTTATTATGTTTTGCATACATATGAACACAGTAAGAACTCCTCAGCCAAATCTATAATTGCAGTCCTTTGAGAAAGCAGTAAGATTCTGGCAATTAGTAAATTCTACATGACAAGAATAATTAACTGTTTTGGATGCAGCCAACACATTTTTGGTAAACAGATTTAACAGATCAGTCACAATACCTCATTCAGCCTTATTTATCAACATTGTAATTTACAGCAATCTAGATTGGGAGTGGACTAATAGCCAGGCTAGCAGTATGCTATGATTATTCCCTCCAATAAATACCAGGGAGATACTCAGGTTTATTGCTGAAATGTGCACATGCAACAGTGCATAAATCTATCATATACCTGTGTTAGCTAGTAGTTCTATTTTCTTTACATGCACATCACTTTGTCTTTTCATTTTTTTCTTTTCCTTTCTTTCGTCTAATTTCTCCCATTTGATAGAAAGATTTTACAATAGAGGCATCGTGTTTCCATTTCTTTATTTTCACCTAGATGCTCAACAAAGCATTCTGCACAGAATTAGAAGCTAATTAGTTAGCTAACTTGTGATTTTGAGGTAATGAAACAGTCTTGGAAATAAGGTTATCAAGCTGCTATTTTCAGATGAGTACTCTGCCTTCAAATTGGTATCTTTAGAGGGGGTAGCTTTGTTATACAGATTTTAGAATTCTTCTTTAGGAAATGCTTTTAGAGAACCCTTATAAAGTACACATGCAAAGCAATCTCTTTTATTTATATTCAAATAGCACTTTTAAACACAAGGGTTTTATCCTATTTGATCATATTGCTCATGTATTCATTGGAGTTAGTAAATTGTCTCTCTTTGTAGCAATCAAATATTTTTCCTTTTTGCTGAAAGTAAGTCCTCAGATGGGTTTCTGCAATTTGCTGGTTAATGGTAGCATGATTATCAGAAAAATGTGGCTTCTCAAGGAAACTCAAAAGATGGGAGGGGGAGCATTTATCTCAAAATTCTGGCCTGTTGATATTTAAAGATCATTTATTTTCCAGTCATTCCTTAGGTCATTGACTGAAATGCACAAAAGGAAGCAGAGATGAGGCCTTTGGAGACTCCAGGCATCTTGTAGAAAGAAAAGCTTTACTTTCCCTAATCACTCTGGGAAAATAAAAAGGTGAGATAGAACCAGGTTCCACGGTGACACACAGAAAATGAAAGTCTAGGAGTTTTTCATAACCTTCTAGCCCTCTGATTTCTAATTATAGTCAGAGAGTAGATCAAATTAATTTTGGGAAAATTCAATGCTTATTTGAATTTATATGACTAATAATAGATGTCTTAAATATATACTAAATAGATGAATGAGTGTCTCTGAGTGTTAAGTATATTCTTCATCATTCCACCATTAGAGCTACACTCCTTTGGTTTTAGTTAACTATAATGATGTACTGGTAAGTGTTTAACAAACTGGTTTTTGCGGTGGGAGGAGGAGCTTTGGTTTGTTACCAAAGGGTTAACAATGGGCCAGCAAAAATCCTGACAATTTAGCAACTGGCTGCCATGACCCTGTACTAGTGGAGATCCACTTTATCTCTGTGAGTAACTGATTGCTGGACAGATGCAAGAAAGATCCTATAAGAATAGAAGACAGGATACTGAGCAGTAGGAAATGAAGAATATAGGCCAGAGGTGATATCTGCTGTCTATTATGCAAGTTTCCCTTAGGTCACTTTGGATTAGAGGAATTGGTAAAGGGGTGATGAAGTATGAATAATGCCAGTTTTCCTTCTAAGCCTTGAGCTTACCTCACTCCAGTTGCCCACCGTCCAATCCGATGGACACAAGATATCTCTGTTACAGGAACTGAGGACCTTGGGCTTCAGCAGGTGCTGGCAGTCTGTAGCCGGGAGAGCTTGCTCATCAGAGCCCATGGTCTGGATACACAACACTGTTCGCCTCTTCTCTCCATAGGGCCCACATGTTGTTGAACATGCTTCCCACTCCCCGGCCCACCACCTGCAGGCAGACATGGACACAGGAAAAGATCACTGAAAGTATACATGCATTCATTTAACCACTGGGAAGAGAAAATAGGTGAGAGCCACGGATTGCAGAGCCGGGAGGTTCTTGGAAAAACTGCCTGCTGGGGAGTACTCTACTGACAGGGCCACGGTACCTTGTTCAACCACACCCCCAAGTCCCAGCAGAACACCTACCTGGCAAAAGTAGTTGTTAAACAAGCATGCTTTTGAATGAAAATCAATTTAAATATGTCCTCTCTTTCTGTCAAGAAAACTGAAAACCAGGTACCTGCTGTGGAACTTCAAACCAGTTAAAGTCTTACTTCTTCATCTGTTAAATGAGTGTAACAATATCAACTTCATATGAGTACTGTGGATTTAATAAAATGTCAATTCATCTGAAGTGCTTAGTATAGAGCCTGATACATAAGAACTCTATCATTTGTTATGATTTATTGTTATTTTGACTGATGGTATTAAAAGAATACAATTAATCTCTCGGTTTCCTGACTCTTAATCAAATGTTTTTCTATTTCAATGTGGGGTAGGTACAAACACACTGTACCCAGTTTTATTTATGAAGTATAATTGAAATATGTGGTGAATGTTTAAAAAATTTACTAAGACACATTGCCACATCCCCTCAAAACATCCTCCCTCACTTCAAACACACTTATCCCATTGTTCTTGCCACTTTCTGAAGCAGTTCTGGAAGTCCTTTTTCATGAGTATCTTTATGAGTATGATAAAAAAAATACAGTGGTACCTCGATCTACAAACTTAATTTGTTCCTCGATTCTGGAAAACATGGCCACATTTGTGTTCATGCAGGAAAGATGGCTGCAGTTGTGTTGGTTATCTGATGCAGAGTTCACAAACAAAAACAAAATTTTGCCAAATGCTTCTGTTTGCAAACCAAATTGTTCACAAACAAAAGCATTCATGAATCGAGATACCAATGTACAATGAATGCTGCTGACCAGTGCCATTCAACAGAAAGGTAGACTTGTGAAAACTGTACATGTTATCTTCATTCATCTTATCCACCAGATCTGGCACTGTGTGACTTCTGGCTCTTACCCAAAGTCAGTATGACCATGAAAGGGAAGTGTTGTGAGTGAATTCAAGACTTTGAGCCAGCCATGACAGTGCAACTAAAGACACTCATGGAAAAGGACTTCTAGAACTGCTTCAGAAAGTGGTAAGAACAACAAGATAAATGTAGTTGAAGAAATGGGGAGTATTTACGGGGGTGGTTAATGCCAATGTGTCTTTTACTGTAAGAAATATTAAAAATTTAAACATTCACAGTACATTTCAATTACACCTTGTATTTAAAAAATGATCACTCAGGGACATTGCCTTTATTTTTGCCTTCCTATATCCTGCAGTCTAATTGTTAATAATTTCATGGTCTCTTTAATAAGAAAGAGTAGAAACTTAAATTAGGCAATTTCTTGTTAGCTGGTCATAACAAGTTGAACAGGTGAAACTGTTGTGTAAATTAATATTCTTGATTAAGTTGTCCTTAAATTTAACAGGTGAAACTGTTGGCTAAATTAGTATTCCCTGAGGACAAACAAATGTGTGCCCATTGTCTGTGAGTGATTGACTCGTGGTTCCAGGATACGGCTCACTGGCTGCATGACTTGCTGTTGAAAATGACAGGCAGCCCTCTGTTCTCTTCCTTCCCTATCACTATGCAAACCTTCCTAACACAGAAGACCAAAAACCAAAGAAAGAAAAACCTTCTCAGTGCAGTCTGAGTTCACCTTTGTTTCCATGGACAGCATCCTTCTATATCATAAGAAAGTGAGAGTCTTCTAATTTCATGTGGGAAACAGTATCCTGTGGGAAGCCCTTCACCTCTGATTTTAAGAAAGGCTCTTGGCCTTGAGATAGAATTGACTGTTGGTAATTCTGAAGAAGATAAAACTTTGTACTGTTTTTGTTTATTAAAAATTGGATTTACTTGAGTAGAACTTATTTTGATTCTCATACTTTTAATTTCAAGTTAAAACATTAGAAGAAAGCTTTTCCTCAATCCTATTATATCATTCAGTTTATAAGTAATTAAGATTATGTATTTCTTCTTGGTGTTTATCATCTGGCTGTCTTGGGGGGATAAAGAGCTAGTACTGGGACGGAATGATGTAAAAGCCCACTGTATTAATCTAATTACTTTGTCCTACCTTTGACATTTCCAAAGGAGGCCAAGCACACTGCTGAATATATAAATGCCATTCTCAAAAGGCCTTAATCTGAACTGACTGGAAGCCTAATTTATCTAATTACCTGCTACAGGGTTTTCAGCTGCCTCATCACGAAGTGATAATGGACCTTCTTGTTTTTTCTTTTTGAAGTTTTCTCCAGTGCCCTGGAGGCCCTTTACATGGGCTTAGGCTGTGGTATCAGTGTGTTCCCAAAACTCATGTGCAGGAAACTTAACCCCAATGCAGTGGTCTTGGGAGGTGGGGCCTAATGGGAAATGTTAAGGAATATTTTAATGCCACTATAATCAGTGTTGTTGGGGTAGGTTTGCTGTCTTTCACCATTCCACTATGTGGGGACATATTTGTCCTCTCTTGTTTTTCTACCTTCTGATGTGTGAAGACACAGCAAGAATGTCCTCACCAGATAAAATGATGGTGCTTTGATCTCAGACTTCCAGATTATATGCCAGTTAATTGTGGTATCAACTTGAATATGAAACACTGAGCGGATTAGTTTAGCACATCTGGATGACTGACTTACTGAAGATGGAAGATCCAGTTGGGATGTTAGTGGCACCAATAGGCTTGTAGCCTGGATGAATAAAAAGGGAAAGAGGAAGGAAGTCTTGCTTTTGCTTCTTTGGAGGAGCTCTGGTCTGCTATCTCCTTTGGACATCTGTCTCTAGGCTTCCAGCACTGAGTCTTCAGCTTTCCATTAAGGACTCACACTGGACTCTGCAGTGAGCTCCACTTTGATGGATTCTCTGGCTCTTTAATGCACAGATGGCCATTTTACTGCTTTTACCCTTGACTCTGCAGATGGCCATTGTAAGCCTACCTTGTAATTCCTTTATATATCTTATATACACTTTATGTTAAATCTATTCCTCTGGTGAACCATAACTGATACACTCTAGAACTGTGGAAATAAATTTTTATTCCTTATGAGTTACCCAGTCAGTAGTATTTTGTTATAGTAGCATAAATCAAATCAAGACAAATTGTTATTAGTTTACAGTGAAAACCATTTCCTCTGTTATTCTGCAAAGGTTTTTCAGGCTCAGGTCTCAGGAGCCAGTGTCAAAGTGATATTTGCTGTCTAGATCATTCTTTTTGGTGTTTGCCATAATCCCATCTTTCCTAAGAGATGAATACAGTACTATTTTATATTTATGGGAGATTTTGTATTTATAGCCAATTTGTAACAAAAGACTTTTAAAGTGCTCTGAATGGTTGGTGAAAAGGGCAATAACAATATTCAAAGAATTCAGAGAGACTAAAAACACCAACCTAAACATTTATTCTCCCCCATTATCACAACATTTTTGGTTTAATCAACATAGAATTGACAGTAAGCCAACCTGACCTTTTCTGTTTGTGCCACTGACCCCTCTCTTACCAGAATGTTAATGACAGTAACCAAGATTTTCTGCCTCACTAAACTTCAGTCAGGTTCCTGAATCTTCTAGGCCCATTTACACATTTCCTTGTAAAGCTGAGGTTAGCAGAGATCACGGCTAAGTCAATTTGGTAAGAGCCTTCACCCTTGATATCTGTTTGGGTTCCTTATCTGCCACCATTCCCTAGGTGTTGTCTTATGACCCTGGCTTGTCTTCAGCAAGAATTCTGTTAGGTCAGTTTAGCCTAAATCCTTCCTTACTCCCACTTCCTCTCAGTGCTTTCCCATCCACTAACCCAAACCTGTTCCTTGGTTGCAAATTCTCACTTGTCCATACTGTATCTGGAGTTGAGGTCAGTTTCTCTCCCACTGGAGAATCATACTGCAGTGCTCTCTACACCTGCCATGATAATCTTGAAAAAAGACTATCTTTCTTACTGTGCTTAAACAATTATCATTGAATGATATTTTCTATAATAACCTAACACACAACTGGACAATTGATCATGCATTGTCTCTATTGTTCTTTAGTCAATAAACATGAGTTAATCTCTTTCCAGTTATGTAAAAGTTCTAAGGACTGGGGCTATATGATTCTCACTGTATCAGTATTTGGGGAGCTTTAAAAAGTTATCAGTGTCCAGGCCTGATTGAAGACACTGAGCATCTTGTGGGTAGAGGAAAAGGCAGTGATTTTTGAGAACTCCCTGATTATTTTTATTTGACATCAGGGTTTTAAACCACTAGTATTCTTGGTCCAACTAAATAGATTTGAGTGTATTGAAAATTTTCTCCAAAGAACTGTTTAATTTGAGTTATACACAACACTGTGTGTGTGTGTCTGTGTGTGTGTGTGTGCGTGTGTGTCTGTGTTTGACATTTTTGAGTAGAACAGTCTGTAGTAGCTGTCCCAGAAAAGTTTACTATGGTTTGGAAAGAGTTAAAGTAGAAGAAGTGGTGAACATCTGACTCTCTTTTCTGTACTTCTATCTAATCTTTTTATGGCAACGCTTGCCTGGGCAGCTTTGACTACCAATGAACCAGGTTACGTTACTCTTTCTGAGCTCATCAGTCAGGTAAGCTGAAAGTCCAAATCTGAATTTGTCAATCTTTCTCATCACAGAAATTTCCATTAAAAATCAACTTTCATAATTGTCATCTTTCTTTGCACTAATCTTTTCCCTAAAAGCATTTTAATGCAAGACAATTCAATTGACCAATTCAATTATATTCTACATTCTGTAACAACAATTATTACAATATAAGCTGTCTTCCCCTCCTTGGATTATATATAGCATGTCTCCATATTCTACTTGCCTTCTATTACTCCAACCTTATATTTTCTTGTGTTCTGGTTCCCTGAATACACCATGGTTAGTCCTC